AAGGAAGGAAGGAAGGAAGGAAGATGGGGGGGAAGGAAGAGCCAGGAAAGAGCTAGGAAGGAAGGGAGGGAGGGAGGGAGGGAGGGAGGAAGGAAGGAAGGAAGGAAGGAAGGAAGGAAGGAAGGAAGGAAGGAAGGAAGATGGGGGGAAGGAAGAGCTAGGAAAGAGCTAGGAAGGAAGGGAGGGAGGGAGGGAGGAAGGAAGGAAGGAAGGAAGGAAGGAAGGAAGGAAGGAAAATCTCAGAAAGAAAGATACCTCTCTTTTTAAGCAACTTTTCCCCAAACTCTCAGAAATAGCTGACACTAGTTTTCTTCTAACGGAGATGAAAACTAAATTAAGAAGGTCCGTGTGACTTTCCCGTAGTAAGCAAAATAGGTACCTGTTTGTACAAAAATAGAGAGGGAGGTGACAAGGAGGCCACAGCTGACACTGCAGGAAAACAGGCCCTTTCTGATTCATGCAAGGAGGGATGCAGGGAGACCAGTTGGGGGGCAAGACTGCAGGGCCAGGTTTTTGCATTTCCCATTGGAGCAGGAATGATGGGCATTTGTGCCCATTTGTCCACCATCCGGGAGAAAAGCCATAGGCCTCTGGTGGAGCCCTTACTTCGAATGCAAAGGGCCCTATCTTAATCACAACAGCTTCTGCTATTCAAAATAGTCAGATTAAGCATAAACAGAAATACTGGGTAGCCTCAGATCCAGGGGTGAAATCTACTTACCTTCTCTACAGGTTTGGAAGTGCACGCACCGACCTCTGTGCATGCGCAGAGGGTAAAAAACAGATTATTTCCTGGTTAAAACCAGGAAGTAATGACGACTGGGTGGGTGGGTGGAACCTCGAGCTACTATCGCTACCGGTTCTCCGAACCACCAGCCATCATCGCTACCGGTTCGGCCAAAGCAGGCCGAACCGGGAACATTTTACCCCTGCTCATATCTTAGCGTTAACTTGTGATAAAGAACTGAGGAATAAATGGAAAAATATCAGAGAAGAGAAACTCTTGATCCTGGAAAGACATTTTTTAAAAAAGATGACAGATCAGCCTGAGAAGCTGGAAGATTGCAGAATCAGTTTCTGGATTTAGTGCATCAATTTAATGCTGTCATCAAAAGGATTGATTGATTGATCCTCATTTAGAATCCGCCTCCCATCATCCTAAAACATGAACTGTGTTGGCTAACTAGATAAGGAGGAGAACTCAGGAACAAGAGGGTTGAACTCTCAGTTGTTATGGATTCTCCTTCAACTCGGTTGTCTTCTCCTGTTCCCACCACCCCACTTCTCTCCGATGGTCTCTTCCACACCTTAAATCAGGGGTTCCCAAACTTGGCAGCTTTAAGACCTGTGGACCAACTCCCAGAATTCTCCAGCCAGCTGGAGAATTCTGGGAGTTGAAGTCCACAAGTCTTAAAGCTGCCAAGTTTGAAGACCTTTGCCTTAAATGGTCACTTTATGTCTCATCAGACCTGAACTATCCATCTTTTGTAGCCCCCTATTTACCTTGAGCAGTTTACCTGAGTGAGCTTTCACAACTTCCCAAGGATTCAAGGGAGGGCAAAGCCTCATAACCAGATGACCAGTCACAGTTGGTATTAGCCCCAGGCAGCTTTTGAAAAGATCCCCATCAGGAAAGCAAATTGTTCCCCAGGGAACGTTGCCTCCATGGAGGCCTTTGCACGCCAAGTTTTCTCCTGACGTGTCCCCAAAATGTCTGCTCCAAAGTGAATCTGCAGCAGCAGCATGAAATGCCACCCTGTGCTCCAAAGATGTCTTTGCTGAGGTCCGGCCTTTGTGTGGGGAGGATCAATGAGTTGCAACGAGCACATTTATATTTAGCAAACAGCTCCCTATGCCATCCTGCCCTTTTGGAGTTCTCGTTTCTGATTGTGGCCTCTGTGCAGTCTGGTCAAAATGCTGGGTCATTAACACCACGGTGGCAACTATAAAAGAGAAGAAGAGAGTTCCTTGATAAGAAGAACAGAAGTAGAGTTTTATCTGACCTTTCCCCCGTGACAAGTTTTTCCAAGTCAGCGGAAATTCAGATTGCTAGATGTCTTTGGAAATGGGCAAATGGGTTGTGAAATTCAAATGTAATTCCCTCAGCCTTTGATTTAACAGATTTAACAGAGTTGGAAGGGACCTTATAGGTCATCTAGTCCAACCCCCCGCTCAAGCAGGAGACCCTACAGGACCGGGGGAGAGGGGGCGGGGCGGGGCGCATAGAATTATGGGTGTGGGCACGCACACGCACAAATCTCCCCCCCTTCCTGGCACGTGATGGCAAAAAGGTTAGCCATCACTGCCCTACATCATTTCTGACATATGGGAGTCCAATCTTTTCTTGAAAGTCTCAAGTGATGAAGCTCCCACAACTTCTGAAGGCAATTTCTGTTCCATGGGTTGATTGTTCTCACTGTCAGAAAGTTCCTCTTCATTTCTAGGTTGAATCTCTCCTTGGTCAGTTTCCATCCATTATTCCTTGTCTGGCCTTCGGGGGCTTTGGAAAACAGCTTGACCCCCTCCTCTCTGTGGCAGCCCCTCAAATATGGGAAGACGGCTATCATGTCTCCCCTGGTCCTTCCCTTCACTAGACTAGCCATGCCCAGTTCCTGTAGCCATTCTTCATATGTTTTAGTCTCCAGTCCCCTAATCATCCTGGTTGCTGTCCTCTGCACTTTTTCTAGAGTCTCAACATCTTTTTATAGTGTGGTGACCAAAACTGGATGCAGTACTCTAGGTGTGGTCTTACTAAGGCTTTATAGAGTGGTATTAGTACCTTACTTGACCTTGATTGTATCCCTCTGTTAATGCAATTTAGGATTGTGTTGGCTTTTTTAGCTGCCGCTGCACACAGCTGATTCATATTTAGCTGATTGTCCACTAAGGCTCCACGATCCCTCTCACAATCACTGCTATTAAGCCTGGTTCCCCCCAGTTTATATGTATACTTTTGGTTTTTCTTACCTAAGTGTAAGACTTTACTTTCCTCTACATTGAATTTCATTTTATTTATTTTTATTTATTTATTTTATTAGGCTTATATGCCGCCCTATCTCCAACGGACTCAGGGCGGCTCACAACAATAAAACCACAATCCATAATACAAATTAAAATGCCTAATTAAATCAGATACAATTAAAAACCTGTAAAAACCCCATCAGTCCAGGCCGGGGGACTCGAATAACCAAGTTTTTAATTCGCGGCGAAAGGTGTGAAGGTCAGGGGCCAACCGAAGCCCCAAGGGAAGTTGATTCCAGAGGGTGGGCTATTTTGTTAGGTATTCAAAGGTAGAATATCTTTTCTCTTTCTCTTTTTAGTTTCTTTTATTTGCTACCTTTAAAATACAGAAAAAATGTTTTCAAAATCAAAAGAAAGAAGAAGAATGGCAGACAGACGTGGAGAGACGAGGGAGAAAAGTTAAAAGAGAAACAGCAAAAGCATGATGTATGGTGATTCACGTATGGGAAATTATTCGGCCTAATTTTTCAAGGCATGCTTAAACCTTGAGCACACTGAACAATATTGATTTGTCTTTGCGCTATATCAATAAAGAGTCATTTTGTAAACAAAAAAGCAATCCTATATTAACCATCCTGGATATTAAATTTGGACTCACACTGTCATTATGACATCAAACAGTAAGCCCCACTCCTGCCCCCAACCCCCCACTGTTCAATTAAATGTTCAAGTCTTCATATAGTAATACGTCCATAAGTCTTTCCTTAGTAATTCAAAAGTACATCCACATCTTTAAAGGTATTGATCTTTTTTGACCAGCTGAACTCACTGATGGGTTTTGAATTGAAACAGGGCAATATTGGGACAGACCCGTCTCCTGTCAGCCATTTACACTTTTCAATAATAAGGAGGTTGTGTAATGGTATGTGGCAATGACCTTGGGAGATGGAAGAAAGAGCCACAGACTGGACAACTGACATGTAAAATATATATCATCCACAGAAGAGGGGAAGGCATGGGGAGCATTTCAGAAGGACCTCTCTCTGTTTTTCTAGAGAGTAAAAAGAAAGGATGAGAGAAATACTGTCATTCTGTTATTATAACTCTACAATAAAGATAGGGCCAGGATTTATTGTGGTGCTTCCTGCCTGGACTATCTCAAAGGGCTAACAGGTCAACAACCAGGCCTTTAAAAAGCTCTCATAAAGGTAAGGTAGAAAAAAAAATTTTTTTTTGTTTGAATTAGTCTCACCTTATGATAAAAAAACATTCTGAATATTCTATAAGAATATTTGCCACTGGTTTGTTAATATGTAACAGTCCTGTTCTTTATTCCAAAATTCTTGCAAATAACTCCTTAGCAATATTTTAATTTTTTTATTAAATATATTGCCTATCATCTGTCTGTCTATTATCTATCTATCATCTGTCTGTCTGTCTGTCTGTCTGTCTGTCTGTCTGTCTGTCTGTCTGTCTGTCTGTCTCTGTCTATCTATCTATCTATCTATCTATCTATCTATCTATCTATCTATCTATCTATCTATCTATCTATCTATCTATCTACCTACCTACCTACCTACCTACCTACCTACCTACCTACCTACCTACCTACCTACCAGTGGTGGGATTCAGCCAGTTTGCACCACTTTGGGAGAACTGGTTGTTAACTTTCTGAGCAGTTTGGTGAACTGGTTGTTGGAAGAAATCATTAGGCAGAGAACCGGTTGTTAAATTATTTGAATCCCACCACTGCTACCTACCTACCTACCTACAGTATCTACCTACCTACCTACCTACCTACCTACCTACCTACCTACCTACCTATCGTGCTTTCCTCAAAAAAAGACCTTGTCTTATATTTGCTGGTTGGGGAATTCTGGGAGTTGAAGTCCTCCAGGCTTAAAATTGCCAAGGTTGGAGACCCCTGTTCTAAAGTGTTCCAAGTAAATTGGGGCTTTCGTGACCACTCTTTCTGTGCTTGCTCTCCGTGCAAAAAAACTCTCACATTGGCTTTTTCTGCCTTTCTTTTCTCCTTGTAGGAATTTGTCATGATTGTTGTTTTTGGAGTGGAATACATTGTCCGTGTCTGGTCGGCGGGCTGCTGCTGTCGCTATCGAGGATGGCAAGGTCGTTTCCGGTTTGCACGCAAACCTTTTTGTGTCATCGGTAAGCATCTGATGGGGACAAAGAGGCGTGTCAGAAGGATTCTTGATGTGTCCCATCATTATTGGGGGGAAGAGGAGGAATGAGAATGGAAAAAGGTCCATTATTCTGTACTCCAGATAGCTGTACAACTGCCATTTGTAGTTGTTGACTCTTATTGGTTACATTCACATGACACATGGAGTTGTCCTATTTTCCAGATGCACTCAACGCATCGAACCACACATTAATAAACACAACTCCTAAATAAAAACTACAGTAAGTAAGTTTGTCTAGGTGCTCGGTGCTTACTCTAGACATTTAGCATCAGGGGTGAAATGTTCCCGGTTCGGATCGGATCGCCTGATCTGGTAGCGATGGAGGCGGGTGGTTCAGAGAACCGGTAGCAAAAATCCCTGGCCCCCCCCCATGCCCAGCTGAGCCGCGTAATCATCAGAGGCTTTTTTTTTATTTTTAAAAGCATTTTTTCCACCAAAGAGGTTGTAGAAAAAATGGTTTTAAAAATAATAAAAAAAAGTCTCTGATGATCACATGGCTCAGCTGGGATCGTCAGAGGTTTTTAAAAGCATTTTTTCTACAACCTCTGAAGAGGTTGTAGAAAAAATGCTTTTAAAAGCCTCTGACGATCCCAGCTGAGTTGCCTGATCGGCAGAGCCTTTTAAAAGCATTTTTTTACAACCTCTTCGGCTGAAGAGGTTGTAGAAAAAATAGTTTTAAAAGTAAAAAAAAAGTTGGCCACGCCCACCCAGTCACATTACCACCACCACCACCAAGCCATGCCCACAGAACCAGTAGTAACAAAATTTACATTTCACCGCTGCTTAGCATGGTGACTTCCAGGTATGTAAAATGACTTCTAGGCTGATGACTTCAAAGTATGTAAGATTTCAACTCCGGTTATTTCCAAACATTTGAAAAAGCCGCTTGTGTTTAAATTCAGCAACCCCTGGAAAGCCCATCTTTGCAGAGTTTCTTCTCTGCCCACCAGATATGTAAACTATAGCACTTAAATCTGCCTCACCCAAAGTCATCTGAACTATGCAGTTCATGGAGTTTGTATAACCTCCAAATCTGACCTCCTTTACCATTTGAGTAGAAGACAAAAGCATTTGGCCAACTTGGTCTCCACAGGAACTAAATGGGTTTGGATCTATTTAGGACCTGGCTGGGACAGGACCAGGGAATATCAAGGTTAGACAAAGATGTTGAGGAAAACAACAATGGAAAACCACTTCTGTATTGTCACCAAAACACTGACATAGGTTATCCATGAATCTTCCAGGAAATTGTGCCTGAAGGAGAATTGACTATGTTACCCAAATGAAGTTCCATGTTCTCTTTAAATCAGAGAAAATAGGTGGAATGGACTGGGAGCAGGATATTCTTGGGGCCAAGATGGGAAGACACCTTCTCCCCATTGCTGTGGTTATCAGAAAAGTCTGGATGCAGGAAACATACCTGGTCCCCCCAATATCAAGTGAATTATGTTCTTCTCAAGCCTGGGTTTGTCCTTCTGATAGTTATGCGCATAATTGTTAAGAAAACCCTTAATTATTTCTACCCAGCCTTTAACCCCAAAGAGATTTTAAAAGACTGAACGTTTTTGTTGTGCAAAAACCTTGATGTCATCTCAGATGTCTCTACTCTGTGATACGGTTATAGAGATGGTGCCTTTCATCTTACAGCTGCCATTTATTTTCTCCTGATTAGCCATGGTTCTGTAGATACCCAGAGGCTATTTCAGACCACCGTTGTTTTTGACTATTGATTTTGAATCCTTGACTGATACTTAAGTCCACCAAGCTAATTTATATTTTAAGGTTCCCTAGGGATTTCAGAACTACCCAAACGACACAGAAGAGCAACCTCGTATTGTGGAGAACATCATATTTTTCATCTGCTTTTATAATTCAGAGGCACCATCTCTTATAGAGGACAACTCCCATAGAGGACAACGAGTGTAAGGGTATGCTTGATCGAATGGTGACTTTTAGCTCCTCTTTAAAGGTTGGTTTCTTTGCTTTGCACCCAAGGAACTGATGTCTGGGCAATGCATCCATCAAGCTACTGCTTAGATCACAGATTGTAAGTTGCCCTCTCTTTCCTTTCTCTTCCTGTGCTTCAGATTTCATCGTCTTTATTGCTTCTCTGGCCGTCATTGCAGCTGGCACCCAGGGGAACATCTTTGCTACCTCGGCCCTACGCAGCATGCGCTTCCTGCAGATCTTACGCATGGTGCGCATGGACCGCCGTGGCGGTACTTGGAAGCTTCTTGGCTCAGTGGTCTATGCCCATAGCAAGGTGAGTCCCTGGAGGCGTAGCAGCTCAAGCAAGGCACAGAAAACTGCTCTCAGAGACGGAAATAAAGACACTTGTTTTTTCTTCTATTTCCATTTTGGGAGAGGGAATTGCAGGGAATTGAAATAACCGAACACAACGGGAAGTTCAGGGATTGTCCCCAAATCTGCTTCATCCCAGAAGAAGTTCTTGTGTAAAAGCAGAGAAGACTGGAGAATCAATGGCTTTCCAGCGTTTCAGAGATACCGTTGGTCACACTGGCCAAGGGCTGCTGGGAAATGTAGTTCCATAGAGGGCCACCAGTGCAATGCAGAGAGATTCCTGAGAAGTTCCAGATGATTCCACATTGAGATCAGGAAGCAGCAAGTTCTACAGCAAAATATCACAGATTTACTTTCTTCCAGCAGGAATCTTCATGCTCATATTTAGGCCAACCTATATGCTCTTCTCCAGAATGTTTTTTTTTATTTTTTCATTGTTTTTTCATCTTTCCATACCCCATTTTTTTTCTTCATTTGACACTCAATGTTTTCCAGTTAGCAAGTACTTCCAGCCCTTATTAGGCTATCAGAAAGAAACAATTATTTCATAAGTTCTTTTTAAAAGTTATTGTTGCATGCAACCAATGGAGCTCATCGTTCTCTTGCGCATGGGACTGTCTGTCTTTTGAACTACTGTGTTCCTCTTTGGGCTCCATCCTCATTGATATTCTCCAGTTATGTTGGCAGATGGAGGGAGTGATGAGGTATGAAGGTTGGAGTTCTCAAAGCAGAAGATGAGGACTACACAGAGAACCATTTTGGAAGCACAGGCCAGTTGCCACCAGTCAGCCAGCAGGAGTACAATAGGGAAAAAGAATCCATTACGAAAGAGCAGGAGAAATAAGTTTTCAGCCTCTGCATGCACATGGACCTAGATTCTTCCTGGTGGTAGAAGCTGATCTCTGTCAGAACTAGACTGCTTGTCTCTGCAATGCTGTAACTTATTTACTCCACTTGGGTCCTGATTTTGCAGGGAAGCATCCAGTTCCTGAGAGGAAATGACTGAAATTTCCTGGAGGTATCTCTAACGAGGTCCATGCCTCTTTGCAAGAAAGCTAGCTTTCACATTGACTCTCTTTCACTGTATTCTGCAGCCCCGTCCCACAGTGGTGGGTTCCAAAAAATTTCCTACCTTTTCCTGTGGGCGTGGCTAGGTGGGGGGGCATGTGACTGAGTGGGCATGCCCAACTTGATGTCACTCAAGCCCACTCAGTCACATGACCTCCCTCACCTATCCACGCCCACAGGAAGACGTAGGGAAATTGTTGGAATTTCCACCTATCTATCCCCGCCTTCCCTTCACCAGTCGCCCCTGTTTCCCCTCCTTTAGCGGCCCCAGCCCTTGCCCCACTTCCTCCCCCACCACTGCCTCTTTGTTCGGGCTGCTTACCTTCCGTGGCAGCTGGTCCAGAGCTGACTGGAGTTTTCAGCGGCCCCCAGTCAGGTGCTGCTACTGGAAAGTGGCTGGCAAAGAAAGAAAGTGGCTGGCTCTCAAAGAGGCAGTGGCTGGCTGCAGGCTGCCAAAAAGTACCAGAGGTCACGGAAAAAGCTGCTGCCATTGCCGTCATATTCTTTGTGCATGCGCATCCCATTGAACTTGCAAGGCAATGGGATACATGTGCATGAAGAGCATGGTGGCGACGAACATGGCGGGTGGGGCGAGCGAGCGAGCGGTGACTGGGGGACCAGTTCGGGGGCTTGGCCAGCCAGCCATTGCTACCGGTTCGGTGACCTTGGCCAAATTTCTGCCAATCATTCGTACGAAGTGGTGCGAACCGGCTGAATACCACCTCTGCCGTACCCCCATCCCCATGCCCATGCCATGTAGTTCTAGGTGTGTGGTGGAAAATATCCAGTGGTTCCCTGGCACCAAGAAAAGATGGACATGCAGTTATTGCATCACCTTGAGAAAGCTCAACTGGAAAACCTGTACTGAACAGGGATTGTGCAAGTGTTGTGCAGATGTGATAGGGTCTTTCCATAAGTGTGACAGTCTCTACAAAGTGGAATCAATTAGAAACCAGACAGATGAAAGTATAGTAACATTAGAGCTCCCTAGGGAAAGCTTCCAATTCTCAAATGCCCCAGGGAATCACCAGGTGTGTCTGTGTTTTGTGTCTGTGTCTGTGTCTGTAGTAATACAAGAACGTTCCATGATTCAGGCAGATGGTCCTTTTCTTTTCTTTTCTTTTCTTTTTTTTAAATAATGTGACCTTTCTTGGCATTTTTATTTCTCCCTGTATCATCAATCATGTATTAGTGTGAGGGATGAAAGGAGACAGGGTCAATCAGTTGGCATTCATGTCCAATTCCCAACTTTGCCTAGCTATCCAGTAACCCTGTCACTTCTACTGGCATCTTATCTACCTGCCAATGCATGAACAAGTCAGGTGCTTTTCCTCAGTGTAGGAAAATAGAGATGAAATGGGGTTTATTAGCTCCTTTCTTCCCTTAACTTTCAGGTATGCAGACTGAACCTTGGTGAAGCCTTTGGCATTTCCTTAGTTTTTCCAGTAGGCCAGGGTGGTGGAATGGAGAAATTGGTAAACAGGACCAGAAAAGTTCAAGTCCGTTTACAGCTTGGTAGAGGTAGTCCTCGACGTACAACCACAAGGGAGCCCCAAATTTCTCTTGTTAAGTGGACTTTGCCCCATTTTACCACCTTTCTTGCCACAGTTGTTACGTGAATTGCTGCAGTTGATAAATTAGTAATCTGATTGTTAAGTGAATCCAGCTTCCCCACTGACTTCGCTCGTCCAAAGGTCGCAAAAGGGGATCCCATGACCTTAGGACACTTCCACCATAAGTAAGTATAAACCAGTTGCCGAGTGTCCGAATTTTGATCACACGATCGTGCAGATGCTACAGAGGGTGGACCTTTGAAAAACGGTCACAAATCACTGTTTTCAGTGCCGTTGTAACTTTGAATGGTCACTAAACGAACTGTTGTAAGCCGAGGACTACCTGTAGATTGGAGCTGTGCGGGTGACATGGGAAGAAGAACTATGCATTCTGTTTTGAGTTCAGTGACGATGGTGAGGACCCTTAGGCAGGTTTCTGTCTTTTCTCTTGGTTTCTGTTGCTGAAATCTACTTTTCTCTGGTGGATTCTGGCAGGAGCTGATCACAGCATGGTACATTGGGTTCCTTGTCCTTATCTTTTCCTCTTTCCTGGTTTACCTGGTGGAAAAAGATGCCAATGATGATTTTCTCACCTATGCAGACTCCCTGTGGTGGGGTACGGTAAGTGTGTCTTTAAAAAAAAATCTGGCCCCTTTTTGGCTAGGCAAGAGGAAGAACTGAAAACCTAAGAACAAACTGACATGGGAATGAATAGTAGAAAGCTACCAAAAACATCAGGATCAGCACAGGATTGCATTCGGAGCCATCCAGATCAGTGGTGGGTTTCAAAATTTTTTACAACTGGTTCTGTGGGCATGGCTTGGTGGGCATGGCAGGGAAAGGATACTATAAAATCTCCATTCCCACCCCACTCCAGGGGAAGGATACTGTAAAATCTCCATTCCCTCCCCACTCCAGGGGAAAGTTACTGCAAAATCCCCATTTTCTCCCAATCAACTGGGACTCGGGAGGCAGAGAATAGATGGGGGTGGGACCAGTCAGAATTTTTACTACTGATTCTCTGAACTACTCAAAATTTCCGCTACTGGTTCTCCAGAACTGGTCAGAACCTGCTGAAACCCACCTCTGATCCAGTATGATCTGGATATCTGTATCCCTATTTGGGACCTCCGGTTGTGTTGGAACTGGAACTCCTGGAAATGCCTCCAATGCTGAGTTGATGTCCCAACACATCAGGAGAAGATCAAGTTGGGGATGGCTAATCTTCAAGATATGGAAATGAGATGGACAGCTAGACTGGGAAACAAACTCTGTAAATTGAAAGTCTGCAACCCAACCAGCAACTAGTATTGTCATTCCCTAACAGAGATATCTCCTTTGTAAGATATTTTTCTTTTTTTTTTTCTATCAAGAACCCTGTGCCATGCAGGTACATTTTTAATACAGATAAATAAATTGGGGCAGGAATCAGGAGCAGTGGATTTTGCTGTGGGTCCAGAGGGATGGAAAATGCCAGGAAAGAAATGGTCATGGTATCAACCAATCAATAATATTTTTTGGGACGCTGACCAGCAAAAATGTAAAAAAGCAAAAGCATACAAAACAATAGTTGTTCCGACCTAGGCTTCCTGAGTCAGTAAAACACACGAGCAGTCCCAAAAGCCTTTTATTTTAACAGCTGTGAATTCTGTTCATTCACAGATGAGTCCCAAATAGTTGTAAAGAGTCCTTTGGGATAAAGCTGATAATTACCCACCTTTATCTCCTTTGACACGCTGCCAAAGACCTAATTAGCAAAGTCACACGGAGTCCAGAATCAAACAGAGCTTCAGGCTTTAAACTGCACAGAATTAACAACGTTGCTTCCTGCAAAGGCCCACGTGCCTTTGTTCCTCTTTTAAATCTTGTGGGAGGGGCCAATAATCTCCAAGCCCTACTCCTGAGTCATCCCTTTTGTTTTAATTGTTTTTGCCTTCTGGCAGCTCTGCGCATGCACGCACTGGGAACATGCTCCCCCGTTCCTCTGCTTCGCTGAGGTCCGACTCTGGAGGCTCCGGAGACAGCACGTACCTCCCAGATGGCCCTTTCTCTGCCTCCGATGCAGAGCCCTCATCCGAGCCTTCCCCAGAGTCCAGGACTGGCCCATGTTCCTCCCCAGCCTCCTCACTGTCCGACTCTGCTGCCAGCTCCACAGGCCATTGGCGGACCACAACTATAGTATACTAACAACTAGCAGAATGAATCACATAACATTTATTCACTCCTCCATTATTAGGTTATATAGTTATTACCTGGGTCATAATTAAATATAAAACATTCGTGATTATAAATTATAAAATAAAAACTATAGATCCTTATAAGTTATCAGTTAAGATGTACTGGGCCAAAAGTAATATTTAAAACAAAGATGGATATGTCTTTAACCAATTATATCTTGCTTTCATTACAGCAACACAAAATTTAGCTACCATACTTGCTGTAATGAAGCCCTAAGAAAAAGGTGCCTATAAAATTTATCTGCTTCTGTGATTTCAGATCACACTCACCACTATCGGCTACGGGGACAAGGTTCCGAAAACATGGCTGGGCCGGGTGCTGACAGCCTGCTTCGCCTTGCTGGGAATCTCCTTCTTTGCCCTTCCTGCGGTGAGTCCCCATGAGAAGGAAGAATGCTTGAGTCCCTAGGGCAGGGGTCTCCAAACTTGGGACCTTTAAGACTTGTGGACTTCAACTCCCAGAATTCCCCAGCCAGCATAGCTGCCCTAGGGAGATTTAGAACTTAGACTTTAAATAACTACATTGTCACTTTGAATCACTAATCAGCATACATTAAAATGAAATTTCATTGCATGCAGCTCTCCGAGGCTCACCACTTCCAATATACACTACATAAACATGACAAAATAAATAAATAAATACAAAATTATGCAAATACCCACATATATTATACGACACAGAGAAACAATAGTCTAGTTCGATTGTATACATGTACATGGTGAGAAAAATGAATATTGTGAGTTTACCAGATGGATGGCATAGGGAACAAAGCTGTTACAGAATCTGGCAGTCCTGCTAGAAATACTTTGGAAGCTCCTCCTAGATGGGAGCAACAGAAACAGACCGTAAAGTGGGTGTGTGGGGTCTCTAACAATGCTTCGGGCTCTAAGCACATAGCGCTTATAAGCAGTATCCTGAATAACAGGAAGCGAGCTTCCTATAATCTTCTCTGCTGTCCTTACCACTCTCTGTATGGACTTTCTATCTGAGGCACTGCTGCCACTAAACCAAACAGTGATGCAGTTTGTTAAAACACTTTCAATTGTGCCTCTGTAAAAAGTGGCCAGGACAGAAGGAGAAAGATGTGCTGTCCTCATCCGACACAGGAAATGCTAGTATTCTCCTAGGCCAGGCTTCAGGGATAGGCGGTTACTACTACTCAGGGTAGTAGATTGGTTGTGACAGAGAACATAGACCTCTATGTGCAAGTTCTCATTCAACCATGGAATCTCACTAGATAATTTCAGGCCCATCTATCAGGTGCAAGAAACCAGAATAATTTCATGAATAAGCCAAAGCAGTTTCTTTATTGTTGATCACCTATATTAGAAGAATTTTGTCAGTCTGGCTACATTCCCTTGGGGACCAGTAGATAAGGTTTCGTTAAACTCATCTAGGATGTTTCCTCCAACAGAGCAAGTCTATGTGACATGGCTTTTTACTCCCTGCTCTCTTTTAGCCAGTGATCCACCACCCCATCAGTCTCAGTTATAATCAATTCATAAGGTTGTTTGGGGATAAAAATAAGATGTGATCTGAATCACACAACCCCGAGCTCCTTAGAGAAAAGGAGAAAAGCTCCTTGAATTTGATTCCCATTGACTACATGAATGTGTGTGTTTAATGGTTTGTCATTAATCTCCTTCTGGGATATTTTTTAAACTTTCTAATGCCCTCTATAGCCCCGGGGGTCTTCAAGAACTCTCTCACTCAAGGAGTAACCAAGTTAGACCCATTTTAGCTTTTTTGAGATCAGTCCAAGTTAGCTTTCCCAATAATGTCCAATTCTTGTAGATTGCCTGGACAAGTCCCTGCAATTTTCTTAACAAGTTTTTTTTAAAAAATGGTTTGCACTTGCCTCCTTTCCTAGGGGTGAGAGAAAGTTACTGGTTTAAGGTCACCCAACTGGCTTAGTGTCTAAAGTGGGATTAGAATTCACAGTCTCCCAGTTTCTAGCCTGGTGCCTTCACCACTGTAAGTCACCAAAGTGGCTGTCTCCAAGCTAGCTAGCTAGCTGCTGATAATTATCTGTAGTTTTTGTCTTTTTTTACAAAAAATGAGGAGAAGAAGAATTTCATAGTTGTGCGCTCGTTGTCCCCATGAGCTGACTGTCTGGAAGGTCTTTAAGCCCCTGAGAAAGATGCTGAAATATTGGGAATCTCTTTGGCTTAGACATTTGACCTCTCATCATCCTAGATGGCTGGCTTTTTCTCAACAAATAGTACAAATTCCCCAATTTCTTAGAGCTTCCTTTTAGTTAGAACTTAACTGCTGTTTTGAAGGGTCCATTGTTGCTTGTCTTTTCACACAGGGAATTTTAGGCTCAGGGTTTGCTCTCAAAGTCCAAGAGCAACATCGACAAAAACATTTTGAGAAGAGAAGAACACCTGCAGCAAACTTGATCCAAGTGAGTAAGGAAGGAAGATCCTGGATTTCCCCCCCCCCCCTCTTTTTTCCTCCTTCCCTCCTTGTTTAAAGAATGTGTTGAATGCTAGAAGCCAAAGACTGTTTGAATAAGTTTCTTTCCTCAAGCAATTGCAGGTTTGTGCTCTGGAGCTCCATTCCATAACTATTGGATAATATTAACAAACGCATGTATATTTGTGAAAAGCACAGCCTCTTCAAAGTATTGCAGATATAATGATGTGCCTACACATGCATGTCTGAATGTGGTGGTTGGCCCTTCTGTCTGTCTCTCTCTCTCTAGCACAGTATTTTTCAACCTGGCAACTTGTAAGATGTGTGGACTTCAGTTCCCAGAATTCTCCATACACCATGGCTGACTGGTGAATTCTGGTACCTGAAGTCTATATGTCTTCAAGTTGTCCAGGTTGAAAAACATTGCATAGTAGAAATCCCTATGTTTTTTTCTCAATGATCCTTATTTCATTTTCCTACATTCCTGGAGTTATGAGGTACTCTGCCACAATTCTCTTTGTTTGAATGAAAATTTTATTTCTTCAGGAGAAGAGAATTGGCAAAGCTCCTTTCTTCTCTTAGCAGTTCAGTTGGCAGCTGGCATATGCTAGAGGCATGTGGCTCTATCTATTACCTGTACCAGTGGTGAAATTTGAACCGGTTTACTACTGGTTCGCTGGCCACACATGCATGCCATGCGCCAAATGTGCACTGCATGTGCGCATATGCAGTGCGCACCAAAAGGAGGCTTGGGAAGGTAAGTAAAACAGTGTGGGGGAGGGGTGTTGATCAGCTGTGGCGCACATGTGGACCTTTTTAAAAAAAATTTAAAAGCATTTTTTACTACTGGCTCGGGCAAATAGGTAGTAAAAAATGCTTTAAAAAAGTAAAAAAAAAAAAAAAGGTTCCGACGATCGCACAGCACAGCTGTGATCGTCGGAGCCTTTTTAAAAACTTTTTTAAAGCATTTTTTACTACCTATTCACCTGAACTGGTAGTAAAAAATGCTAAAAAAGTTAAAAAAATAAATTCCGACGATCGCATGTCGCTCAGCTGATCATTGGCACTTTTTTTTTTTTTTACATTTTTTACTACTGGTTCGGCAAACCAGTAGCATTTTTTACTACCGGTTCGGGTGAACTGGTAGCATTTCCCCCTGATCTGTACTGAAAGGTTTAAGTCTGATTGACAGGTCAGATTTAAATTTTCCTGTAGCTTTTTCATTCTGAACCTCTAGGACTACAGGAGGAGGAGGATACCAAGTGATACCTGTAAAAATAAATTCTTCTCTTCCTGGCAGAGCTGGGGCAGGATTTCTGTCCACATGTCAGCCCTACAAAGTAGATGAGAGTAAGAAAGAAGGCTTTGTATGTCTGAACTGTTTTATTGTAACACCTATAGTAACAGAATTTTGCAAGTCTTGTCCACCTCCTTCAATGTAAATTAAAGAGGGGCTTGTCCGAGATGTTTTCTCAAGTTAATTTCTTGGCCTGGTTTCAAGTCCTTCTTATCTGATAGTTACTTTGGTGGCCACCCTTTCTTCTGTCTTCGAAGCCATTCCCCACCCCAGTGGTGAAATTCAAAATTTTTTTACTACCGGTTCTGTGGGCATGGCTTGGTGGACATGGCAGAGGAAGGATACTGCAAAATCTCCATTCCCACCCCACTCCAGGGGAAGGATATTGCAAAATATATATTTTCTTCTGCGCATGCTCAAGATGGCGGCTTCCTGCTGAGCCGCTACACCGAGGGGGTGCTGTTTGGACCACGGGGGTCTTTGGGGGCCAGACGAAACAACTATGGCCCTACCAGGCTAGCGGAGGCTATTGTCAACCTTTTGAGAGCTTTTTAGCTCTCCGGAGCGCTTCCTGGCCATGGGAGTCGGGTGTTGCGGAGAGGCGTTTGGGGGCGTTGTCGGCCCGGATGGCTGCGGCGGCGGCCTTTGCGATCAGCTGGCAGTCGCCTGAGCAGCGGCGGAGACGGCGGCAGCGCAGCGCTCTCGGCGGACCCCTCGTCGGAGCTCGTCGGAGTCCTGGGTGCCCAGGAGGTGTTGGCGGGGTTGGGGAAGACGAGGAGGATGGCGGAGAGGCTGGCAGCTGTTGTGGCGCCAGCCAGGGAGGAGGCTGTGATGGCGGCTGCGGGCTGGCGGTGGAGGCGGCGGCGGCAGCTGAAGGCTGCGAGGGGATGGCAGGAACTAATTCCGCGTGATCATCTTAGACTGACCTGGGCGGCTGTGAGGTGTGTGGCCGTTTGTGACCAGCTCACTGACGCCCAGAGGCCCCACAGTGAACTGTGGAGGCTGAACCGGGTGAGCGTTATGACCGGGAAAGACCTGGGGGGCGATGTGGAGGACCGGAAGAGGACTATGGGATGTTTCCCCCTAAACGCTCTGTATTGCTCCCCCCCCTTTTCTGCCGGATTTCGCCCGTATGATGGTCCCACGCTATCCAGGCCATTTTCAGTCTCAGCTGGATACCACCATCATTTTCCATCTACTTTCCATTGGATCATCTCCTGATATGCCCACTGCACTAACTCTGTAAACCGACTTATACTTCTGGGCCTATGGATTGGCATTGCTCTATCTGTCCTCCCTACCGAAAGGAGAAGTTTACCTTAGGTATGAGTATTGAGGGAGTCAGCCTTGGCTATTATTTCCATCGTTTCTGGACTATTCTTGGACTCCTCCCACTACCATGAAGGCAGTGGCGTTTTCCATGTATACTACCTAAGACTTATATACTTTTCCGTTGGACTCTTAAATCATCATGATTGATCCCCTGGTTATAAGCCATAACTACTCCAGTAACAAATGTATTCGGTGTCGGAACTCTCGCCCTGCGAGATTCTCCCCACTCGCAGGTTTGGCCCTCCACATTATCGAGGGCCTATCTCGATGACGGACTTTGGAGTCCAGAGAGATGGCATGGAGCAAGGAAGAATTTGTGGGGTTTTTTAGGGAAATTTTTTAAGATTTTAAGGGGTTCTGGGAGGGGGGTTTGTAATGATCTTTCTAGAGAAATTGGGAAGAAGACTCTGGGGGATGGGGGGGGAATCCACCAGGGTCAGAGCCGAGCCCGGCACAGGGTAACGATTTGGGAGGTGTTGGTCGAGGGACTGGGAAAGGATGGGGGACGATACCTATGAGGTTTGTACCATCAGCACGGTAGATGGGAGGGGCAGATATGGCGGGAGCAGGGGACCATATCATGTGTTGGGGGCTCGCACTCGCTGTTTGAGAGCAATTGCTTCCCCGGTCCCCATGGCTCCTCTTGGAGACTAGGTGGCTTAGATACTCAGGATCTGGGCCTTCGGCTGATGTTATGCAATGCCAGGTCCGTGGTTAATAAGGCCCCCCTCATTCACGATCTTATACAGGAGGGAGGAGCGGACCTGGCGGGTATTACGGAGACCTGGTTGGGCCCGGAGGGTGGCGTCCCTCTGGTTGAAATGTGCCCACCAGCTTCAGAGCATTCCATCAGCCGAGGGCCCAGGGGAGGGGCGGGGGGGTGGCGGTTATTATTAACGAGGATCTGGATCCGAGGGAGACCACTGTGCCTCAGATAGCCGGATGTGAGTCCCTCCTTGTGAGGTGGGGCCGTGGGGTTCAGATGGGCTTGTTGCTTACGTACCTGGCTCCCTGCCGCGTGGCAACAGCCCTTCCTGAGCTACTCGACGTGATAGCCACGGTGGCAGTAGATACACCCAGGCTTTTAGTCATGGGTGATTTCAACTTGCCATCTGTCGGTGAAACGTCTGAGGTGGCTCGGGAGTTCATGGCTTCCATGACGGCCATGGACCTGACCCAGTTAGTTCATGGCCCTACTCACAGGGGGGTCACACTCTGGATCTGATTTTTGTCTCTGGCCAGTGGTTGAGTGGTCTTGTTATAGGGGATATAGACATGGAACCCTTGTCATGGACTGACCACTCACTCCTTCGCCTAGATCTTCGAACCGCGACCCCTCGCCGCAGGGAGGCGGATCCAATTAGATGGATCTCCCAGGCGCCTGATGGATCCTGATAGGTTCCAGACGGAGCTTGGGCCATTTCCTGAGGATCTAGCACATGACTCGGCCGAGGACCTGGTAGCCGCCTGGGATCGGGCGGCTGGTGGGGCCTTGGACCGAGTTGTGCCTTTGCGGCCTCTGACCCGATGCCGATCCCGGGTGGCTCCTTGGTTTACTGAGGAGCTGAGGGAAATGAAGCGCCGGAAAAGACGCCTGGAGAGCGGTTGGAGGGCCAGTCTCGCTGAATCTGATCGAAACATGGTAAGGTCGCATATTAAGACCTACCTAGTGGCGATAAAGACGGCAAAGTCTAACTACTTTTCCGCCTCTATTGCGTCATCAGGGAATCGTCCGGCCGCCCTGTTTAGGGTGACCCGCGCCCTGCTCCATCTGGGAGCGCGGGAGGATCCCTTAGAAGGCAGGGCGGAGGATTTCGGACAATACCTGTATGACAAAATCGCTCAGATCCGGGGGGATTTGGACTCTGACTGGGTAGATCAGGGCAGGGTGACGAGGAACAGTCTTGAGAATGTTATCTGGGAGGAGTTTGATGCTGTGACTCCCGATGATGTGGACAGGATTTTGGGGAGACTTAGTGCGGCCACATGTTTACTGGACCGTGTCCCTCCTGGTTGGTACTGGTTCCGGGAGGTTACACGAGGCTGGCTCCAGGGCGTTATTAATGCTTCCTTGAGTGAGGGTCACTTCCCCGCTGCCCTGAAAGAGGCGGTGGTGAGGCCTCTCCTCAAGAAGCCGTCCCTGGACCCAGCAATATTGGCTAACTATCGTCCTGTCTCCAACCTTCGCTTCATTGCGAAGGTTGTTGAGAGTGTGGTCGCGCAACAGTTTCCACAATTCCTGGAGGAAACATCCTATCTGGATCCGTTCCAGTCAGGTTTCAGGTCTGGGCACAGCACGGAAACGGCATTGGTCGCGCTGGTTGATGATCTCTGGAGGGCTCGGGACAGGGGTTATTCCT